GTGAGACAGGCACCAGAGACCAGGAAGCAGCCCCATCTCCATGGCACAGAAAACACCTCCTGTCCTGACAACACCCAAGACCTGAAGGGTCCGCAGGGCCCCCTGGCTGCAGGTGGGCTGGGACCCCATCATCATGCCACCACCCACACCCCTTCGTGTGCACCTCCATTCCTGAGGCCTTCTCCGCCTATCTTTGGAAAACAAAGTAATTCACTTTTAATGAGTGCTGGTGTTTTCCTTCCCGCTTCTATTGGGGCAGATAAAGTCAGGGGGCCTCCCCACGGGTTAAACCACTGTGACCTTCATAATCAGAGAAAAGAAATAAATTATGTTTGCTCATAAATGTCACAGGGGCCCAGCTGCCTCCTCACAGGTGGTGATAACGCTCTGCTTTTATCAGGCCTGGGCGCTCAGGTGACAAACGCTCCTTTGTGCTTTTGGTTGGGGTGGCCTCAGTTTGGCCCGCTTTCCCACCAAAGCTGTGATGATGGTGACTTTCCCACTGGGGGGACAACTGAGCTCCCTGGCATCCTGGGGGGCCCTGTGAACCCCTCAGGCCTTCAGACCTGAACAATGTGGATTTGATGCCCATGGAGCTGTCTCTGCATCCAAGCCAGACTCACTGACCTTGGGGCTCCTCAGGCGGCACCCCATAACCCAGACTGCGCTGCCTGGGGCTGACCCAGCTTTGGGGTGCAACCTGTGTTCCCAGGCTGCCTGGCACAGGCCCCTGGACACAACTATGGTTTTTGCTGCTCCTGCTGTACAAGCAAGGCTCAGCATATGGGGCCCTAGTGCTGGGGTGGCAGGAGTGTGGCAAGGGCCCTTCTCTCCAGGTGCAAGGGCAGCTCCCAGAAGCCTGGTGGTGACATGAGGCAGATCCTCCCTGAGTCAAAGAGCCCTGAAAGGTGACAGATGGCAAAATGATGATGCCACAACTTCATACTACCTCCCCAAGGTTGTGTCCAGGTTCTGAGGACTAGAACCATCTAGAATTTTCCAGAACCTGCTGTCCTGAGAGCTAATTGTTTTATTTTGAGGCAAGGTCTATGTAGTTCAGGCTGGTCTTGAACTAACAGCCCGAGTTGGCCTCAAGCTCATGGTGATCCTCCTGCCTCAGCCTCCTGAGTGCTGGGATAACAGGATTGGGTCACCTCCCTCAGCATATGATTTTAACAGAACCTCTTTGGCTCCTCCCTTGTCCCCACTGTCCCCTCATGGGGCAACTCCATCCTTCTATGTTGCCTGTTGTCCTCACCCCCACCTCGCCCCAGGCTTCCCTTCTGCATTGGCCATCAGAGGGTGATTTATCAGCATCTGTCCCTGGTGGCTAAAGTGGAAATGCAGGCACAGGCACCTTGGGCCCAGCTAGATCTGATTTGGAAAACAGGGGGCTTTAAGCCCTCCCTGCTCAGTCTGTCCATCAAGGGCCACAGCACCAGTAACCAAGGGTAGGGGCAGCTGAGCCCAGCAGAAGTGTGTTTCCTTCATTTCCCTCATTTTGCCATTAGACATTGGCTAACAAGGACAAAATAAATCTCAAATAATCACATTGTATTTTTGACGCGTTAAGTGTTTTACACCCTGAATGGGGAACTTGCCTTTTTGCAGTGGTGGCTCTGGAGAAGCACTTATGAGGTCTGGTGGCTTCTCATGCTCACATGCCGCCTTCAGGCACATCTGCTTGGCTAGGACTCTTTCTAGGAAAGTGGAGTTTGGGCCAACTGTGAAAAGTTAAATGTTAACATTACAGTCACATTGCACCCTGGCTTCCTGGTGGCAGGCACTAGCTGTGTCCTGCCTGACACTAACCTGTGTGGAGCCAGGCTCACCCTGAGTTTCGGGTCTCATCCTGAACTTTCTAGGGTCTTGCTTTAATCCCTGGAGGATAACTTTCCTGGACTCAGCAAGAACCTCAGCTCTTAAGGCTTACAAAGCAGATTCTAACAGACTCTCTCAATGACACTCAGCAGACAGGAGACTGGAAGGGGTATGCTCAGCCTGCTTCCCACTTGAAGGTAACCAGGCTCTGCCCCCAGCCTCAGCTTGGCACTAGCTTGGTCCCAGTGAATGCCAGGTGATGATGCAGGCATCAAATCTCAGGCCTTGGGTTGGAAACCATAGTCTTAAGAGTTGGAAGAGCCCCTGCAGTCAAACTGGGCAGCAGACAAGGGGTGGTAGGAGCAGGAGCTGAGGAAACATGTGGTCCCTTGAACCTGCTGTGGCTGTCCCCAACTTGTCCAGCAGCTCTGCCTAAGTTCAAGCAGCACCAAGCTCTTCTGCGTGTGGGTGGATGCATCCTGGGGTTGGGGTCTCCCCGTCTGACAACTGAAAGCCCCAGCTATTAGGGATCAGTCAGGGGTCACCTTGACTGCCCCTCAGCCATCAGGGTCAAACATCAGCCTGAGGGTGCAGGTTAGTTCAGATGCCCAGGATGCGGAGCCTACACAGTCAATATAGGACCACACCAGAGCTGTGGAGATGGGCAAGTCAGCTTCATGGGGAAGGCTGGGGTATTTGGTTTTATTTTCCTGGCTTTTTTTGAGTCAGGGTCTCAATATGGAGTTCAGGCTGGCCTTTAACTCACTACATATGTAGCTCAGGCTGGTTTTGAACTCCCAGTGATCTACCTGCCTCAGCCACCCAAATGCTGGGATTATATGTGTGCACCACTATGCCCACATCAAACTATTCTAGACCTTGGAAAAAAATGTCCTGAATTACAAGTGCTTTTTAAAAACTAGAACTTACAGAAAAGTTACACTTCACCTGTGCAAACTTCACTCATTCTGACAAGGAACCTACCTTCTCGAGAGCAGGATGGAGTGAACACCCTGCACCCTGGTTTCACAGACTTGCTTGCTTTGGCAGTGCTAGGGTTGGAGCCCAGGGACTCCCCATGCAAGCCAAATGCTCTACCTCTGACCTATACCCAGCCCAAGGTAAGGCAGAGGCTGGGTGTTTCAGCAAAGCTCTTCTCTCAAAATAAACTGATACAAGGGCTGGGGATTAGCTCAGTGGTGCTGCTGCCTGCCTTGCAAGTAGAAGGTCCTGAGTTCGATCCTTGGTACCAAAATAAATAAATAATTGACACGACACAATGTAAGAAAATATTTTATTTACATTTTAACAAACTATAGAGTTTGTGTACTTGTTGTAAAGATGAAATTCCTCACAGAAGGCTTTCATCATTTTTTCTTTATTTCTTTTTAGTACTGGGGATGGAACTCCGGTCCTTGTGGTTGCAAGTCTGGCGGCAGAACCACTGAGCTAAATCACCGGCCTGACTTTAGTCATTTTATACACTAGCAGTTCTCAACCCACACTAGAAAGTTCTTAGATTAACACCAAGCATTGTCCACTCAGGGCTTCAAATGTAGGTGTCACAAATATAGTTTAAAGCCTGTTTTTGGTACTGGGGATTGAACTCAGGTCCTTGTGCTTGCAAGGCAGGTAGTAGAACCACTGAGCTAAATCCCTAACCTCTATGTTTAAAAGCAATTCTGAATTCACAATGCTTTTGGTCAGGATGGATTTGCCAGCTGCACTGGACAACAGTTAGCATCACATGGTGACGCATGTTATGTGCACACTCTTATGGGGAGCCTGCCACATACTAAATGCAAGACTCAGTGCTGGGCAGAGTCAGTTAGGGTCCACAGTGAGAACAACTGCCTTGGGAGGGAAGCCAATGTAAACGTGGACCATCTGTGGGTGCAGCCTGAACTCATCTGCACAGGATGAGGAGGCTGCTCGATGCCTCCTGACCCTTGCTGCTGCTCCCAGCCAATGGCCGAGCCGGTGATGTCCGCATTGTCCCAACACCTGCAGCACCGCCATGGCTGAGATCCAAGGCTGGCGGTGGAACACAGGTGGACGCTGTTCCATGAGCTCCATTTGGAAGGAGGTGGGCCTGGCCTGCCACACCCACCAGTGATGAGGCTTCCCGCAAGAAGGCACTCCAACCACTTGCCACCCTCTCTGTGGGTAGAGATGAGGGGTTTCACTTTGCCTCTGAAGCAGGGTCAGGATGGGGAAGGCCAGGCTGCCTGTGTTGTTGAAGTCCATCTTCCATGCTGCCTGTGAACATCATGGCTCAGACCCTTGGTTTACTGGTGGTTATGCATGGAGACTTGTGCTTCCCAGGGTCCTGGGGACACCCCAAGGTGCCACGTCAAGGTGCATGCAGCACAGTGATGACACACCCAGAGACAGCCTGCTGCCTGGTGACCGCTGCACAGGGGACAGTGCAAAGCCATGACTTCTAACTCACACCAACTGGCCATTTCCAGAAATTAAGCAGTGAGGCTTAATCAGGTCCTGGACCTCAACAGCCAGCAGGCAATGAGCACAGTGCATGTGCAGCACACCGGGTACCCAGGCCACGTCTCCTTCCTCAGTGCCAGGGCTTCTGTTCCTCGGGTGAGCATTTGTGTGTGCTTCTCACAAATGTGTGAGCTCCCGTGTGCAGTGGTACCTTCACAACTGCTAGGGCCGGACAGCAAGCAGCATCAAATGTCCATTCCTTTTTGGTGACTCCAGAGTTGCGTACAAAAAGACACTGCCAACGTGAAATGGACCAGTGGAGAGAAACAGCACACAGATGGTCTCTACTGCATCCTAAGGTCAGGCAAGCGCTCATGGAACACTCAACCAACACTGTATGGGACACAGAGGATATTCACGGGGCTGGTGGCAAGTAACTTTTCAAAACGCAACTGTGTTCCAGTATTAAAATAATCAGCAACACAAATAGCTGACGATTTTTAAACTTTAAACCAATATATATATATATATACATTAAAAAAAGGTATATCCGGTTCCACCACATGCCTTGCAAGTGCAAGGACCTGAGTTCAATCCCCGGTACCAAAAAAAAAGGTAAATTAGGCCAGCAGCAGTGGCACACACCTGCAGTCCTAGCTACACACAGGAGGCTGACACAGGAATATCTCAAGTTTGAGGCCAGTGTGGGCAACTTAGTAAGATCCTGTCTTCAAAAAAAAGAAAGGTTCAATCTCTAGTACTACCAAATATAAAAATAAATTAAGATTACCTATCAAGTCTTGCTATGAGAGAAACCTGCCTGGTCCCTGCCCCCACCCCCCAATCAATGCACTTAGCTATCTGAATATGACCGAAATACAAACCAACCTTGGATCAAAAAGTGACCTCAACAATGATACCTAAGGCCATGGACCACAACATAACTTCACCACACTCCTGGCTTCCCATTACATCCGAAGTGCAGCCCTGCCCTGCAGGGCCTTGCTGGCGAGCCCGGCCCTCTCTCTCAGCACGTTAGCCTCCTCGGGACTCCGCTGGGCCTGCACGTGCCTCAGTAGGAAGTGGCTGATGAAGAGCTTCAGGCCCTCCCGCAGCACACTCAGCTTTGGGTTGTCAGACACCCTGCAAGGGAAATACACAGATGACATCAGGGCTAGGACAGGCTCCTGAGCTCACACATGCTGTGAGCAATGAGGAGTAAGCCAGTTTACTTTACTCATTTGTTCTTTGGGTGCTTAGGATCAAACCCAATGCCTGGGCCAGGCTAGGACAAGCACTTTACCACTGAGCTGCACTCTCACTCAAACCCCAGTTTCCTTTCAAACCTTTTTTTTAAAGGCAGGGTCTTGTTATGTTGCTCAGGATGGCGTCAAACTCCTGGGCTTGAACCATCATCCTGCCTCAGGCTCCTGAACAGCTGGGACAACAGGTATGTGCCATCACATTCACATCCAGTTTCTTTTTGAAGTAGAATCCTCAATTAAGACCTTCTTAAGGGTTGAGGACATGGCTCAGTGGTAGAAGTGTCCGCCTCCCATTCATGAGGTCCTGGGTTCAAGCCCCAACATTGCAAAACCTTAAAATACCATTACAAATCACTGCTAGTTTGCTCAGGCAAGTTTTATGGTTCTTAAATTTAATGCTTAAGATATGAGCTTATAGTTAAGTCTGAAATGACTAAGCTATACATAAAGTGCGGAACTGCTTTAACAAATCACCAGGAGTAAATAGTCTTATCTTCCCTTTACTATATGATGAAAACAAGCTGGGTAGAGCGGAGATTTAGCTCAGTGGTTCTGCCGCCTGCCTGGCAAGCACAAAGACCCAAGTTCGATACCCGGTACCAAAAAAAAAAAAAAAAAAAAAAAAAGAAAGAAAACAAGCTGGGTACATACCTTGAAAAAATTAGACTCAAGTCTTCAACTTCTGTTTCCATTAGCAGCATAGTTAACACTTTTCGTAAAAAGTGGACTCTGGGTTTGTCCAATTCACTGAATTCAACCACCTAGTCATCAGGAGACAGAAAATAAAGCCACATTGATGTACCCAACTCTTCCAATGATCTGTGAGTGTAGGAAGCAGGGGTAACACTTTGATCTGCCCTATTCCTCTATTCCCACTGTTAAAAATGAACAGCTAAAAAAAATCACACACACACAGCTGTGGGCAGTAAGCAGTACCACAAGAGCCCCCTCCATGACAGGCACTGGTCCTCAGCAGCCTGAGCCACATTCCCAGGACACAGCCTGACAGCCAGGGCCTGAAACACACAGCCTCTCCTTTCCCGGAAGTAACTAACCCATTGGTACGGCTCCCTACCCCCAGACACAGGAGAGACTGAGTCATACATACAAACCTCTCCTAGAAAGCTAAACCCAGAGTTAACTTGACATTCAGCAGTGGGACAGATCAATGTCCTACACTTACCACCCAGTGAATTCCACACCAAAGTGATAAAATCAGAGAAACTACAGGCATCAACATAGCTAATTTTAGTCCAGTGTGGTGGTGCACATCTATAATTCCAGCACTCAGGAGCTGGGGCAGGAGGATTGTCCTGAGTTTGAGGCCAGCCTGCACTATAAAGTGAGATTCTGTCTCAAAAAAACACAAACAAAAACAGAGGAAGGCCCTCCCAGGAGTGAGAAGACACTCAGGATTAAATACTGGGGGGGGGGGGCATGTATGCAGCAGAGCCAAGGGCGTCTCCAGACGTGTCACCCCAAGTGAGCTCCCTCTGCATGGTTCCCATCACCTGGGGTGGTGGCATGGCCCATTCCATACTGAGCTCCGCACACGAGTGAGCGGAAGGTACGACTTAGTCCAACGACGAGAGGACAATATATTTTTCATGCTCATGAAGACTAAGCATCCCTATTTTCCACACGCAGGACCCTAAGCCCAGCAAACATGAAAAGATTTGAGGAGCTTCTGAGAAGATGCTCTGATGAGGTGTGAAAGTGTAGGGCCACATCTATGGCCACCAAGCACGCTGCCCTGCAGGTCAAAGCCACCCGTCTCTGCCACTCACCCCTGACCCTCAGATTTCCCAGGATGGACTGGCTGCCTCAAGCCCACAACTGTCTCACAATTCCACCATACCCTCAAGGGGACACCTGGGTATCTGCAGTTCCTGGCTCCGAAGTCTCAAAACACAGTGACGGATGGGGAGATCATTTTAAAACACTCTACTCTGAGAACCCAGCAACACATCCCAATAATCCTGCTTCACTCTGTTCCCTACCCTGAGTGATGCAACCAAGACTCTGATGAGGGACAGCACACCGGCCTCAACCCAAAGCACATTCACTTAGATCAGTAGAAGCCATCACTGGCCTTCACAAGGTAAATTCATTCCATGTGTTACTTTTTCTTTTTCTTTTTCTTGAGACAGGGTCTCGCTATGTAGTTGAGATTGACCTGGAACTCACTACGTAGTCCAGGCTGGTCTCGAACTCACAGCAATCCTTCTGCCTCAGGCTCCTGAGTGCTGGGATTACAGGCGTGTGCCACCACGCCCAGCCCCATGTGTTACTTTGGATATTTCTACAATGGCTGACATTAAAAAGTTTTCAGAACCTCAGGAAATGCATTTGTCAAAATGTCAAATATAAACAATTATATTAACATTTCATTGCTTTAAATAATTTCATGCATCATACAAACCTTTAAAATGGAAAGTGGAAGAGACTTTGTCTTCAGTAAGTGTGCCACCAAGTGAACCAAATTCAAGAAATTGGTGGCTGGCAAATTTTCTAAGTCCCGAAATTTGTCCCAAATGCTGAATTGGAAAGTCATCTAATAACCAGTTAAAAAGAAGAACAAAGTTAAAGCGCAATAAGATTAGAATAAACCATTAAGAATGTAATCTACAAGTACTCTACTTCTTATTCACTTATTTCTAATATCCTAAAAATCACAACTTTTAGGGAAAGGAACCCCCCTGTCCTCTCCTCTAGACAGGACTGGAAATAGCTCCACCAACATCGTCCTCCTGCTGCCTCCCCCTTCTAATTAAGTTACCACAAAGCACCCAGAGAAAGGCTGTCTCTGCAGGAGTTGGTGTTAACAGTGCTAGAAACGTCCACTTTACCTGGCCATGACACTGCACACTTCTGTGACAGAACAAGGTGACGACCTTCACTATCTCCACCCCTCCATGAAGGTGGACCTGGCTACCACTTGGGACCACTCCCTGTGGTCAGGACATTGGTGTTAAGGCCATGAGCAGGGCACAGGTTACCTGGAATCGCCTCTCATATCCGCAGAACTTGCTGGCCAAGAAGGCATAGAAAGGGTTGTAGGTTTTCTCCTGTAGGCAGCAGTCCATGAGCACGTGGATGATCTCTCGTTCCTGCTGGTCCTTTAGTCCGAGCCTGCACACAGGAGCAGCCAGCACAAGTGAAATCTCTCAGAGGCCTTAAAGGGAGGTGGTGGCAGCCACAGACAGGGCCACAGCCCTGACTCCAACTGGCCTGGTAGGATTTTTTCCAACATGGCAAAATGTTGGAGGGCACAATATGACCCACAAGCTCTATGCGAGCCATGAAAGCATATATGACTGGAGTCCATTAGCAGGACTCAACCATGTGCACCCTAAATTCAGGTTCTGGCTGAGGCAGTTCTTATAGAGAAAACAACAGCATCAGGAGCCATCATCACAATAGAAATAAAGTTCCATTGCACCAAACCCATGCCCCTCTTCAGCTAGCATTCCCCCAGAATGCTGTCTATCTTGTCCTTCTAGCTCCACCGCTGCCAGAACATCACACAAACAGCCATAAGGCAATCACCCATGCCCGAGGGTCCTGGTCTTTTCTCCTATACTGCACAATGTGACCCCCCCAACCCACTGGCTTCTTTGTTCTTCCCAAGTTAGGCCATGAGGGATACGTACAGTTTCTGGGGATTATAAACAACTCTGCTCTCTGTGTGTATGTGCTACAGATGGAAGCCAGGGCTTCACGCCGATACTAAGTAAGCTCATTACCACTGAGCTACATCCCAGCTCATCTGAAGATCATGATGAATAAAAATGGGGGGGCAATGTTAATAGACATCAGGTTTTGCTTTTGTTTTTTTGAGACAGGGTCTCGCTATGCAGTTCAGGCTGGTCTTGAACGCATGGTGATCTTCCTGCCTGTGGCTCCTGAGTAACAGTGAAAGGACTTCCTAAAACACATGCTGGGCATATCCACACTCCCTGAAGTACAGCCACATGGAGGTGGGCACATCAGGACCCAGGAGCATTGGCAAACAGCCAGGTACTGTCAGAGGACTTGGGGCTTCCAGCCAGTAAGGTCCTCTAGCTTGGAAGACCCCACTCTCCCTTACCTGAATCCCAATATAAACTGTTTTCCTCATATTTCCTTCTGAGTCTGAAGCACATAAAGGAAAATGACATCACAGTGTTTAGAAGTATTTTGTAGAAGTAAGCAGGTATCTAAAAATTTATCAAAACTATAAAACCAATACTTTGATGTTTTAAGTTTCAGAAAGAACACCAGACATGGGGGATGCTCACCTGTAATCCTAGCATTTGGGGAGGCCAAGGAGAGGAGGAGGATCACAAGTTCAAGTTCAGCCTAGAGAGCTTAGTGACTTTAATAAGAACCTCAAAAAGTATGAAAGGGTTGGGAGATAGCTAAATGGGAAGGTCTGGGGCTCAATCCCCAATAACACTGAAAAAGAAAAAAAATCAGAATGCTACTTTTACTATGAAGGTTTCTACATCTCCAAGCATCTCTAGATAATCATCAGCCACTGAAGTAGTACCTAGTGACTGAGCCCTCAAATCTTGGTACTGTGTGTACAGTGCTGGGGACCTATCAGGGGCTCAGCAGGGACACATGGCCCCCCAGGGACAGACCAGGAAAAGCCCTTGTTAACCAGTCATCCAAACACACACACCAAATAACACCTGATTTTTAGCAGGTGGAGATGTTCACACAAATGCTTACTTGAGCAGTTTTTCAAAGGCATCCAGAAAATCCTCACTGGTCATCACTGTGCAGAATATGTTCCTCCTAACGTCTGTGTTCATTCTCTGCTTCCGGGCAAGCTCCAGAATCTTTGCACTCACCTGGGAGGAAAGTGTAGGACCTGTGAAGTCTGGATAGCTGTTTCCAGAGGAGCACCACGCTGGGCCTGGCCCTGTGAACAGCCCCACACTAGGGAAACACAGCCGAGAAGAGCCCAGGAGAAGAGAGAGCTGGGCCGGAGATTGCGTGGGAGGGTGGTTCAGAGGTGAGGTTCAGCTAAGGGATGACTAGACATGGGGAGCTAGACCCACCAAGGTTGACCAGGTACAGGCCATGAGGGGAAGAGGAGGACATCTGGGCCATGTGTGGGTATCAACTAATGGACTGGAACCCACGTCTCCTGGGCAACACACATCCTGTCTCAGGAATGGGCCTTTTGGAGATGAACACTCGACTTTCACTGCACTCCGAGATCTTTGTACCACGTGTTTTGGGACCTTAAAGAATTCTTTAAGGTGCTGGGTGTAGTGGCAAATGCCTGTAATCCTAGCACTCCGGAGGTGGAGGTAGAGGCAGGAGCATCACTACGCTGCATGATTGAGGCCAGCCTAGGCTACACAGTGAGTTCAAGGTCAGCATGGAATACAAAGCAAGACCCTGTTTCAAAAACAAACAGGACCAGGGATTTAGCTCAGTGGTGCCAAGCACTAGGTCCTGAGTTAGATCCCTGGTATCAAAAAACAAACAAACTCTTTAAGGAGAAAAAAAAGCTGAACAAACAGTATCTTCTTTGTTTTGTTTTAAGATGGGGCCTCAGTATATCACCCAGGGTGGCTTTGAACTCCTGGGCTCAAGTGACTTCTGCCTTAGCCCCTGGAGTCTTGGACTACATGTAGGCACCCCTGAACCTGCTTTAAATTGTGTCTTACTAAGCACCAGCCATTTCCACAAAGCCTTTCAGATCTATACTCATGCAGGAGCAACACAGAGCTCCCCCAGGGAGAGCTGGACACAGATGAGGCAGCCCAAACTGTACCGTTCCCGCAAGTGGCCTCTGTGGGGCTGCATGATGACTGTTGTCAATCATCGGGACCCCACTCCATGCGGACCCCATGATCCACCAACGACCGGTCTGCTCAGCATTCAGGATGCCCTCCCAGGAGATGCGGAGCTGAGTCTCAGAGCCAGAGCTGGCATTGCGCACCTGGTGAAGTAAAGCCCAGGTGAGAGCTTCCCCCAGCCACATTCTGTTTGCCCTCTGCATGTCCCAGTGTTGATGATAGCATTTTTCTGGAGTATGAGGATGCTGTGGTCCTAGGACTGCTGGCCTGCCTGGGACAATGCCAGAGCAAGCAGGAAGAACCCCGCATTTTGTCCATGTGGGGGACAAATGCATGTCCACTGAAAGATGTCATGAAAGAACCTGACAGATACCATGGTCTTGGGAATAGAGCTCTGCCAGAACTGATGCCACATGACAAAGGCCTGATAAGCCCCACCCTGCTGGCCTCCTGGGCTCAGGTGGGGCCTGGCTGCTCAAGGAGCCTCCAGGGGACCTAATGCACCACCTGTGTCCAGCAACCCTTACCATGCTCCAGTGCAGGTGGGTAGCCAGACCCAGACCCCACCAAGGAAAACCCACAGCTCCCACCCGACTTCTGCACACAGGACACAGCCCCACCCTGCAGATGCTGTTGTTCCCTCATTTTCTCAGCATGCCCACATGACACAGAGACTCAAGACAGACCACAGCGGGCAAACACTGACCAGTGCCCTCTGCAGCTTCCTCAGCCTCTCCACTGGCTCTGGGTCATAGCCTGGGATCTTGCGCATGTCATTGTTCTTTAATGCCAGCATTATCTCCAGCATAAACCGAATCTTAAAAAAAAAAAAAAAGGAAAAACAAAACCCGGTCATCCCAAATTATCTATGCAGCTGATCACTCAACTTGTAGACGTCCAGGTACTTTGATTTACTATTTCAAAAGCAGAGTTCGATGTCTTTCCAGATCTGCACAGTCCTTGCACATCCTCCTGTCCACCTTAAGGGGGACCTGGCCTTTCCCTTCCTTCAGCCTGCTTCCCACTAAGCCAGGTCACTTTGGACTCCTGTGACACTCCTCCCTCCCCAGTCCACATAGCAGCAGAAATGCCACGAAAAGGGAGTGGCACCAGTGGAATCCTCTAGGTGCTCAGGATAATCTCCTGCCCCAGGATAAGCATGTACCCACTCCCCACCCATGTCCCCCTCCCCACCTGTCCTTGTCCTAAACAAGCTGTACCCTGCCTTCCCTTGGGGCCCCTTAGGTACGAACATACCTCATCCTCAGAACAGCAAACAAGGTCAAAGCTGAGGGAACCTATTTTATAGGTGGACAAACTAAGGCTGAAAAGATGCAGGCTCTGCTGCTTTCCAGGGGCAAAGCCACACATCTGGGAAAAGCCAGAGGCTGATACCCAGGTAGGCCCCAGGGCCTCCATAAGAGCATTTCCTGAATAATGTTAAGTAGGCTGACTTTTAAATTCACAAAATTACTACTGGGCATGGTGGTCCATGCCTGTAATCCTAGCACTTGGGAGGCTGAGGCAGGAAGACTGAAACAAGTTGAGTCCAGCTTGGACTATACACTGAGGCTGTGCCTCAAAAAAACCTAAAAACAAATAAATTAATAAAAATTCATGAAATATTGATTGGGGTTCTTATAAATAAACAAGGTGAGCTGAGAGATTAAAGATGAACTGCAGCTGGGGGTGGTGGCACACACTTGTAATACTTTGGAGGCCAAAGATGGAAGGCCAAAAGCTTGAGCACAGAATAAGACTATCTCAAAATAAAATACAAAGAGGGATGGAGATGTAGATCAGCACTGCCTAGGTTCAATCCCTGTTCTACCACCACAAAAAAAGTAAAACCACAGAAGTAGCTAAGGCTGGGTAAGGTCCAAGGAGGCCCAGAATTGTGAGGAAGTAAAAGAGTAGTATTTACCCTACACACTTATTTTTTTAAGCTCTGGCGAGTCTGTGTCAAGTGACTCTCATACCCTGGTCCGGTCCTGAAACATGCTGCCTGCAGTGCTGGCTTTGGCCTGGGCCTCGGTGATCAATTCCTTAAGTGACGAAGCATCGTCTTTTCTCAATGAGAAGCCTACGTTCTTCAGCATCAACAGAATCAGCTCGATGTCTTTTTCTGTGAAAGTTCCTATCAGCTTCTTTAAAACGTCAAAGATGAGGAGTGACTGGACTACGTGGAAGTTGTACAAGTGGGCAACAATGGTGATCAGGTTGTCACTCTCCTTCCCCTCGCCTCCCCTGTGATAGGCATCATCAAACCTCCTCACCACGGCTTCCAGGAAGCATGCGCCAACCTGAATGGGCAAGAGAGGTGCATCATCACACTGTCACTGGGACTTCTGCTTCAAACTCAGCACTTCTAAAGTAACATGAAACCTGTACATGAGGCAGGATGTGCACTAGATGGGGCAAGACAGATGCTCCTAGGAGGCACAGCCTGCAGCAACTCCAGCATGATTTATAACAATTACAGATGACAACACTACTTTTTTGGCCAGCAGCCATTGTGGTTGCTTGGAAAAATAAACTTAAAAAAAAAAAATTTTTTTAAATGTTGTGAAAAACATATCCATATCTCTAAAATGCTCTATACCTAACACCACTCATTTCTCAGAAGCCTTTTTCCAGATTTTCCCTCCAAGTTAGTTCTTATAAGGAAGTGATATAAGTAACATCCAAAGTTCAAAAATGACAACACATTGAGTGGCATCCCAGACTCCAAACAGGCAGGTACTTCATCCCTGAGGTCAGAAGCATGGCACATGAGCTCTCAACTTCACACAGGGGGTCCGCACCCTGCCACACACATGCCCCTCAGGGGACTGGTAGGTAAGCCAGGATGTGGCTGAGGGGACAGGAGCAGGCCAGGACCTGGAATGGGCCTCAGAAAGCCAGGCAAGGTCATTGTGGTGTTGCCTTTGTGCCGCTCTGGCACATCCTGTTCCACTGCCCATGTGCGCACTGGGGTAGGATCTTCTGAAGCAGGTGGTCCTCGGCAGGTCCACGACCATCTCTTTTCACTCTCAAAATGGAGTCAATGAAACTCAAAAGCAGAAATGGTAATTATCAGTTCTGCTGGTGTAACTGTTATGTCACCATTTTCTCTCTAATCTCAGCTCAAATTGACACTGGAGGGAGGAGACTGCAACAGGGTCGCTGATGTGACGTTTTCAGTCCAGCTGGGAGACAACAGCTTGAATAAGCAGCTACAGTGGACTGGGGATAAAGAATTTGGATAGCAGCGTGACACCAAGCAGATTGGTAGGGTGTGGCTTGTCGCTGCATATGAAAGATAAATGGCCCTGTTTCCCAGGTGTTTGGTGGTCTGGGCAACCAGAAAATACCCAGGGAGAAGCAGGTGAGAGGGGCTGGATAAAACCTGTTGAACTCTTATTGGACCAAGGGACATCAGGTAACATGGGTGCAAAGCCATAAGCAGTGGTGGGTGCTTTGGGAGGGTGAGCTCTGCCAGGCAGGTTGGGGCACAACAAGGACAGGCAGCCAGCATTGCTAGGTTGCAAAAACTAACAGCAGAAGAATTCAGAAAAAGGCAACAGATCAGCAGAGACAGCTGACTTCCTGAAGCCTGCTCCCATAGTCTGGACACACTATTATTTACGGGCCAACTAAACTTAACCTTAAATTCCCAATTCAAGCCCCTTCACTTAATATAAACCTGAAGACTCTTAACTCCTAGTACGACTATCATAGCAAGAAAATTTCAGGCACAAGATAGACAGACAGAAAGACACAAAGACTTTTAGGGGTGCTGAAGGTTGAACACAGGATCTCATGCATGCCAAGCAAATGCTCTACCATTGAGTTACGTCCCCAGCTTACAGGCAACTGCCCCCACCAGGCATTTTCAACACACAGATTTATGCCAAAATGTACACTAAAAATATGAATAAAAGTCACACAGCTAAAACTTAAGCATGTACATTAATTGATGTGAGAACACTAACATAAATTTACATAGATACATTTAGTGACTTATAAAACCAATTCAGCAGCTGCTACTGTGACCGTTAGCACATTTTCCCTTCGTGAACTCCTATGAGGGATTTTTCTCAGTATAGCATTGAAACAAGTTTAATGGAACCAGCATCCTGAGAGCTTGTCATACCTGGCAGAAGTTTTAGTGGATGTCATTAGCTAAGTACTGTAATGACTTCCTCTCGGAACAAGACATCTCATTGTCCTTCGTGCTATTAGCAAAGGTCTAAATGAGAAAGAGGACCAATAATCTCATGTTTTCAAATCAAGTAAATTCCTGATGTGCTGCGGACAGTCAGGGTCTATGACTTTTCCATAATTCATTAAAATACTGTCTATACTAAAATCATGTTCATTATTAAGTCACTGAAGTGTGATCTAAGAGGATGGGGATGTACTAAACCGGCCACACACAGCATTGAATTACAGCAATCACAGGCAACGGGAAATCTGTCCAGTCTTCCATTATGCTCGGTAATGGCCAGAAAATGAACTCGTGTTCATGTGGGAAAAACAATATGGACCTTTGAATAAAAAAAAAAAATCACTCCAAAAGAGCGAGTCCCACAGTGGCTGGTGCAGGTTTTCCACCACAGATCAGGAGATACTGGGTAGTCTTATGCCCAGAAACCATGGGTCTAGAGTGCCCGCCTCCTGCCCCGTTTCCTTGTCTGCAAGTCTTATAGCCTCACATCTTTCCAAATATTACCACAATGAGACCACTATTAGAAAAGAAAAACAGGGTTCAGAGGACTAGAACATCAGCTAAATCTGCAGTGGAGGGAAAAGCTGGCCAGGAAAGGGGAGGAAGAGCAGAATCTGAGCAGGAGCATTTCCTTCCTTACGAGAAGCAGGTGAATGAATGTCTGAGTGACAGTGAGGGCAGACTGTGGGCTGGCCCCTTCTCTATACCTGTCACAAGTGCTAAGTGACACCCTTGAGCCCTGAGATGCGCCAGTACCTCGATTCCGACTGTTTGGTGCAGAATGCTGACCAGGAGGATGTGCTCCATCATCAGCCGGCTGGGCATGGCTGAGGAGGTAACACAGGCATCCATGAGGGTGGCAGTCAGCGTATCGCTCATGTCCTTCCTGCTGTGGGCCATGTATAGTTCCTCCAGCTGCCCACTTATGAATGCCATGTTGGGCTCACTTAGCCTGTGGAGGGGTGTGAACATGGAGAGCAACAGTGCTTCACACTAGGGACCATTTTCTAGTTCAACTAAAAACTGAGAACTTATTAATACCATCAACATACCCTACTTTTATGTACTTCTGACCTAGGAAAAACTCTTACCTTGCCACAATAACTCAGTGTACAATGCCCATCACCACTTAATACTCTGCAATTTCAAAAATACCTGTCTTCAGCTGACATTCAGCCAGCAAAGCACACACTGGATTCTCAGTAAGTCTGCAAGAACTTACATGAGGACACCCTCCAGGTACCCTGATCTGCTACCCCAAGGTAAGGACCATCCTTAAGTAGAGCTGCTTGGAAAAATGCTAATTTCCCCATGTTTTGAGTGGCACAAACATCCTGGCTTCCTACACTGAGCTCATCTGTAGGAGAGGATGAGCAGACTGAGAAAGACAACTCACGGTATACTCGTGCTTATACTGAACCAATCCTCTATAAACAGCGCACCACTATGTGATAAAATTCCAGCATACTCCACGAAAAGTACATTTGGGTTTTAATTATAAAGAAGTAAAAAACAACTCAAGGGGAAAAGGGGTGAGTGAAACATAAAGGAGTAGTACAAGAGCTTGGTCGGGATAGAACAATTCTATACAAATCTTCATGTGATAAAACTGCACAGGATTTTACATACACATGCGCATGCATGCACACAAACGCACACACACACAACCCAAAACCAGAACAAGTTCCAGGGGTTGTGTGTCATCTCCCCACTGTTTTTAATTGTATTCTAGCCACAGAAAATGTTACTAACTGGGGGATCCAGGTGGTGACATGCAGGTCCTCAGTGTGAACCTGGAATTATTTCTGAGTAAGTTAAATAACAAAAAAGCAATACATACTTGAAACTTAGGAAAACAAGGTAAGGTGCTGGAAGTCAGGGTAGAGGTCACCTTTACAGGGCTCAAGAAAGGGGAATGGGGGTGGGATTCTGAGGGAGGGTAATGGAAGAACTGCAGAAGGGTGTTGGGGCATGAGGTTGTGTCCAAGCAGCTTCCAATCAAACTTCTGGACAATAAGAAATGCAGGCACATGAGTAGTGACCAGCGGGATGGAAGACCACATTCCCCATCAGTGAGTCTGGACTTTGGCCAGGACCTCTCCTACTGTTCCTGGTGTGACTCAGAAGCCCTGCGCCTACCTCTGCAATCCTCACAATAACCATGTGAGCCCAAGGGCTGCATTCGGACACTGAGGGGACTCACAGTACAAAACAACTGTGTGTGATCTCATTAAGGTATGAGTCTGGGCACATCAGGACAGGAACACAAAGGATCCCAAAGTGGCTGGTATTGTAATTCTGGGTCAGTGTCTGTATTTTCAGAAGCACAATATCTCTTAAAGTGACAGAACTATGGAAGGTTACCTGTTGATGAGGCCTTTGACCTGTTTCTTCAGTCTTTCCAGTTCTGCCTTCTTGTGGACATTGACCGTCTCCTGGGCACACCTCACCTGAGGCTGGACATCCTTTTCACTACTTTCACAAAGGCTCTCCTTGAAGAGAGAGAATAAATTGCAAATAACTGACCCTGGCCAAATCCCATTTTTGCCCTTGCTTTATGCACATTTAAATAGTAAAATCCCAAGAACTAGCCGTAGAACTACTGATCACTGCTGTTTAACATCATGAGGGTCCCACTGAGAGCTCAGCAGGTTCCAGAAGGCCCTGTTCCCACTCCACCCCCAACACTGTACGGTGCTCTGCTCCCCACTATTCGGAAGGACCTCCCAGAGGACCTGGGACTGTCTGCATTATACCTGATGAGATGCGTCCTCATCCTCTAAACTCTTATGTTTCAAATCTTCATCTTCTGCAAAACGGACCCTCTTCCTCCCTGTCCTCTTCCGCGCCCTGCCTTCCACTTCTTCACTGAGTTCTGGGTCCACACCCTCATCCGAGTCCTCCTCCACATTTTCGACCTCATCCTCTGTGGGATGCGCTTTCCCCTTCGAGTTCTCCTCGCACTCGGAGTCGCCGTCGCTATCCGGAGGTATTTCGGCTTCACCGCTCTCCTCTCCCTCTTCGTACTCCTCACCGCTGCTCACGTACAGACCGCTGCCGCCAGTCCCGGGCTCCAGGACCCCCAAGATGTAGTCCAGCCCGTCGCGCGTGAAGCTCAACGGCACGGAGCTGCCGTTGCCCTTTTTTTTGCGCTTGTTCAGGCCAAGGCAGCGCTCCAGCTTCCGGATCTCGCGGTCCTCCTCCTCGTTGGCCGCTAGCAGAGCCCGCTTCCGGGCAAAGGAGGTGACCGACGGTTCGGTCTTCCCTGGGCGAGCCTCGGCCTTGAGAGAGGGACCTTTAGTCCGGGTAGCCTTGGCCTTACTGTGGGCCGAGGGCGCTGGGGCCAGAGGACCCTTGACTTCGACTTTGTTGTGGTACTGGGCGGCCTCGGCCTCTTGGGCCCTGACAGGAGGGCTGGCGCTGTCCTCCTCGCTGATCGGCCCCGGTCCCCCTCGCCCGCTGCAGGCGGCGCGCCTTCCGCAGCTGCCGTTTCTCCCTTCGCAGCTCCTTTCGGCTCTTCTTTCCAAGAGGCCTGGAACGCACCGCTGCGCCGCGCCCCTCAAAGCCCCCGGGAGGCTGGCCCTCGGAGGTGGCCTGTACGAACCCCTCCACGGCCAGCTTGAGCCGCTTCAGAGATCCCTTCCCGCCAGGCCTACGACTGCAGAGTTTCAGGTGGGCCCCACGCCTGCGGACACGGTGTGCCAACTTCGCGGATGCCGCCATCTTTGGGGAAGGACTAGCGCACAACTTCCGGATGGGGCGGGACTTCCGAATGAGCACCAAGGCTATGTAGAGCTGGGCGAGTGGCGCTCCCTGCTGGTCGGAGGGCAGCAGTAGTGGACAGTTCCTTGAAAAAATGAGACCCTTGCCGACCTAGGTGGAGACCTGTTCGGGAAGGTGCGTATCGGGGTGTACCTCCAGACGTGTGTGCACCGGCGGCACGCATGTGTGCCCGCAGCATCTGCTGCTGTTGAAGCCTCATCTCCCTGTTTGTTAGAATGAGCAACACTGCCGTCTACAATATGTAGTGTATACAGTGTGGTTTCGATGTGAGCAGGCTGAGTCAGGGAGCCTCAGTGCAGTCACGCGTGTGGAGGTGGGGTGCAGTGTCTACCAGCCCAGAAAGCTAGGCGAGAGGCAGAGCGCCGATTCTGTCTGTGAGGCCCACAGGGAACCAGCCTGCCACATAACTTTGAATTTCTGGCCTCCAAATAGAGACAATAAATTTTTTTCCTCCTTTTGTTTATTTATTGAGTCAAGTTTTTTTTCCTTTTTAATTGAGTTTATTGGTACATTTTAGGGATACAGTACAGTTACATTTATTGTTAGGATCTTGTACCTTTACATGACAGATCTTGGTTCTCATTTTCTCCCCTTGTCCCTGCCCTCCTTTCACCCCTCCTCCCCTCCCCATTTACAACCGCTTTATTTCCATCTTTTCATTTTCTCACATTTTTTCTTTTCCCTTATTACCCTTCCCCTACCCATCCCACCTTCCCTACACCTTTAGACCTTGTCTTCCCATTTATTGAGTCAAGTTTTGTAATGGATTCTAGGCTGGCCTTGAACTCGAGGCAGTCCTCCTGCCTCAGCCTCCCAACTGCTAGGAATACAGATAAGTGCCACCGTGCCTGGCTTCCTTCTCTTTTCTTTGCTTTTTCCCTTTCCCCTCCCTAGGCCACCTGGAGACAGTACATTTTTGGTGCTTTATGCCACTCCATTTATGGTCCTTTGTTATGGGTCAGTTTGTACTAGGACACGACTGCAGCCCACATCTAATTTGTTTCCTGGTTTCTTTGTCTAGTTTCCATCCTCCCAGGTCTGTTTCCCCCAAGGCTGCCCTTCAGCTTCTCAGAAGCCCTCTATGAACTTCCAGCTCTCCATACAGACTCCAGTCTTCAAGTCTTTTAAAGATGTTTTTTGATGTTTGCCAACTTGTCAGCTCTAACAGGTAACTCATTATTTTAATTCCTTTTTTTTTTTGTTTTTTGAGACAGGGTCTCACTATGTAGTTGAGACTGACCTGGAACTCACTATGTAGCCCAGGCTGATCTTGAACTCTTAGCAATTCTCCTGCCTCAGCCTCCCGTGTGCTGGGATTACAGGTGTGCGATGCCACGCCCTGCTTTAGTTCTTCTTGAAAGCATCATTTCAGATATCTAATGACAATTTATGTTTCTTTTTGATTCTGACTGTGGCCCATGTTCCTTGTAAATTTTTAAATTAATTTTTAATAGGAAATGTGCTGTATGCATTGAATACAGAATGCAAAGGTAGGAAAGAGTTGTAATGAAAGAGCCAGTTTGTCCTATCCTGGCTGCCATGCGCCTCGTTCCCTTCAGGAAACAGTAACATTATATCTTCAGCGATCTCCAAATAGACTCCAGGGTATTCCCTGTTTTATCATATACACTGTTCCACATCTTAGAGTTTTTGTTTTCTGTGTGTTTTACTCAACAACAGAGCAGCTGCTGGCATACTTTCCTACCCTACCATGTTCTGGGTTAGCTCAGAGTCCTCTGTCAACATAGCAGCCAGTGATCAGTGGCACGGCTCACTGCCAGCTCAGGGAGCAACTCCTGGCTCTGCTGCCCTTGCCGCCTTGCTTTTCTGACCCTGTTCATGCTCCTCTCCTCCAAGTTCCCTGGGATTCTGACCCCAGTCTTTGTCCTCTAGCTGAACAATACTGCCACCCTCTACAGGATGACACCAACCCCTGGTCCTCTGGACCCTGTCTCTGTGGCCTGTACCACCTGCCCTGCCATGTACACTGACTCCTCACTGCTGCAAGACAAGCTGCACCAGAGCTCTCCTCTTCTGGATTTAATATAGACAGTACAATTAGGAGGTACAGAACTGCTCCCCTATACTCACCAGAGCCTGGGCATTGCGCCAGCACCAACCTCTCTGATTTTGTGATAAGGCCCACTACCTAGAGGCAGAGATAAGAATAAAAAAGACCCCTAGAAATTTCAAATTTCAGACCAGGATGCATGGGCGCCAGACCTGCCAGCATGACCTGCAAAAATCTTTCTTCACCTGGAGCTCATTGAAGGTTAATGTATGTGGGCTGTGTCTCATGATGCATTCAATTATAATAGAGTGGATTATGGGGAAGGGCATGTGCAGTAGACTCAGCACCTTGTCAATCATGCTGTAAAGTATGCTCTGAAAGACCCCATGGGAGTTACCCTCCATCTAGCACATTTTAAATTCTTAAATCCAATGAGCTGGTGTGAGCTCAGAGCATACTTCCATCTGATTAAGCTTTACTGCTGTTTTCTTATCACTGCCTGCCACGTCTAATTCTTTGTCACAGACAAGAACCTAGAAACCCTCAGGACCTGTCATCCATAGCAACACAAGAAAAGTATGTGGCCCTGTCTGTAAGGCTGGCCTTGGGTTGGATGAGAAGTAACTGAGTTAGCACATGCAGAGAGCACAGACCCAGCTGATCCGTGGGCAATCAGTGTTCAATAAGTGACATTCTTGCCAGCTGTTGTCAACATTGGTTATCAGTTATAGCACTGGCCCTCTTTGGACCCATCTGGGAACGAGAAGATGGAAAAGGAAGATGGGAAGAGGAAATCTCTGTGTCTGTGCTGTAGGAAGTGAAGTGCTGTGGATTCTGGAGGACAGGGGAGCCACTGTCCTGTCTTGGATAAGTACATACTTTGGAGGCTTAGTCTGAGCCATCTGTGTGACAGACTTGGGGGAGAGGGGCTATGCTTCACCAAAATCCTCATCCTTTAGGCCTTGTGTGCCATTCCAGCGAGGGCATTGGTCCCTACAGGAGCTGCCAGGCTATGGTCCACCCGTGTCCCCTAGTGCCCTGCTGCCCCTTGCCCATCCTGGCCCTGGGATGAGGGCTGTCTGTAGGAACAGCCTGGGGTGAGTGTGAAGGCCAGAGGGAGAGTGGAGGCTGGAGCCAGGAGGCCTATTCCTGCCCAAACCACAGGCCAGGGCTTCAGGTAGTGGCATTGCTATTGCTGGAACAAAACAGCTAACATTCACAGTTTAATGGAGTTGAAGTTTCTTTGGCTCATGGTTTCAGTGGGTTCTGTCCCTGCCTGCCGCTGTGTTATGGCTTGTGTCTAGATGTCCCCCCAAAGCCTTATGCAACCATAGGTGAAGCTTTTTCAGAGGTGGCTAGATCTAGGGTGACTGATCCATGGTATAATGCTAGGTTTGAGGGTGCTAGAATTAAAGTGTGAGTGCTACTTACCCTAAGTGCGGGTAGCCTGGATACAATATAAGGGACAGAAAAAGGCTTGCTGCTAGTTACTTGTTGCTTGCTACTTTTGCTGTCTTCTGCCTGCCATGAACTATTTCTCCTCTGCAATGCCCCTCTGCCTTGCCACTCTGCCTTGGAGCCAGCTATCAACTAAAACCTCTATGATCTAGGAGCCGAATAAATCTTTCCTCCCTTTACTTGTAAGTGTTGGGTATTTTGTCTCAGCAATGACAGAAAAGTAACTAAGACATGCTTCAAGGTAGAAACAGCATGGTAGGAGGGTGCAGTGACCGGGCAGCAGAGCCCAGTCAAAGAACTCCTGCCCCAGATACACCCCCAAAGGCAGCCCCCAGGAACCCCTCCACCTGGGCTTCCATAACAGCACATTCAGCTGTGTCGGTGCTCCATGATTCAGTCACCCCTCCAGTTGTCTCAACCCAGATGAGGTGACAAGATGAACTGGCACACTCTGGCCTCCCTATTCCCCCAGAGTCCACATCTTTTCTCACCCAATAACTTCTCTGTACAAACCAGGGAGAAGGGGCCAGCAACCCTTGTCACTGCCCCACTGAACAGGAACCAATGACTCAAAAGGAAGCCACCGTGCATAGTGCTTAGACCTGGGTCTGGCCCACAGTCCCCACTTGGTGATGGCTGTGATCTCCTGAAGCCTTCAGATCTTCACACCTTCCACCTGTTCATATCCTTTGAGGCCCAGCCAGCCGGCAGCAGCTGGATCTCTGTGCAGATGTGGCTCCTGGTGTGGAGGTGCCTGTGCTGTGGAGCCGGAACTTCTCAGACTTGTTGGGGAGTCACCATGTGAGGGGGGCCTGGGGGGCCGGTTCCACTTCCTCTGCCTTGGAGACCTCCCCGTTCCCAATCCAGAAGTGGCACAGCTTGGGTTCAGTTGTTGGGATGGTCTCAGGGAAAAGAAATATTATTTCCACAGTCCTGCCTGAAGGGGCTTGAGTAGGACTGCCGTAACTGGCAGGATGAGGAGTGCAAATCTAGAGCAGGCCTGTGGTGAATGTCCAGGTGGCAAGGTGGCCAGAGTGCTGGGCCGAGGAGCACATGCAAGACGAGTGGATGAAGTGGGCAGTGGCCAGCGTGGACAGCCAGGGGCCATGCACCCTGTACCCTGGGAGCTGGGAATTGCAGGTGAGGAGTGGACACTGGGTGGGCAGTGACATTAAGGAATTCTCAAGGCTCTGAGCAATCAGAGGCAGGCACATTGGGCTGGAGGAGCTGTTGGCCCGGCCCTGCCTGAGACAGGCCTTAAGAAATGATAGCACCCACGACCCAACAAGAACACTCTGATATGTAATTTAAAGAGTGACTTTTAACTCAGGCTCACAAACGTTTTTGTTTGTTGGTTTCAGTATATCAATTTATTGACTGATTGCTTTGAGGTGTTGGATTTCTTCCTTCTGATTGCAAAAGTGACTCATGCTTTCCACACAAACTGAAATGCTACAGTTTATGTAAACCATAAGGAGGGGAAGTCTACAACAAACTTTTCCTCCAGAAATGCATCCTCTGGACCTTGAACACGTACATCACCTTGCATTCTGATTTCTTTTTACCATAATTGGACACACATGTTATTTTGCATTTCCCATTTGCTCTCAGTGCTACGATGGGAGTTTCTCTACCCATTGCTCATCTGGGCTGCAGCTGCTGGTCATGTGGTCTCCAGGGCTACTACAAAGCTTCATCTGGCGTTGGTGAGAAAGGCCACCTTCAAGAGCCCTGCCTGGATTCATCTGTTTCTTAGCCACCTCCTTTCTTAGCTGTGGCACAGAAGAGTCTTCTCCCTTCATTTGTTTCAGTGGCATAATTTATGTAACTGATCTGCTTATAGTGAATATTTGATTGTTTCCTTCCTTTTAAAAACATGTTTTTTGCACTTTTTTTTGTACCAGGAATCAAACTCAGGTCCTTGAGCTTTAGGCAGGCAGTGGAACCACTGAGCTAAATCCCCGGCCCTTTTTTGCACTATTAAAAGTGCTAGGTTGGGTGTGGTGGCACTTGCTTGTAATCCCAGCATTCAGGAGTTTGAGGCAGGAGGATCATGAGTTTGAGCCCAGCCTGGGCAACTTAACAACTTAATGAGTGGCTATGGATATAGCTGCTCATTGTGCAGCCCCTGGGTTCAACCACTAGTATTCAAGGAAAAAAAAAAAAGTAAAAGCTATAGGAAATAACTGTGTGTGTGTGTGTGTGTGTGTGTGTGTGTGCGTGTGTGTACATGTATATGTGTGTGTTTACAGAGTTGTGCAAATTTCTCACAAGGATTTCATGTACAAATTGCTTAGGAAAAGCATATCAATACTTTTAAACTTGATAGGTAAAGCCACATTTCCAACCCCCAAACTGGGTCAGTTTGCACTCCAGGGGAGAGGGTGTTCCTTCTCTCTTCCCCACACCTGATGGGATTCTAGCCTTCTCATCTCTGCCCATCTGAATGAGCATACCTACCCTCCTCCAATCTCCCAGCCCCAGCCTGCTGGAGGGAACAGGGTGTCTCTCAGCCTCTCCAGGCAGGCACCTACACCATGGTGGCTTCCGGGATTTCTCCATTGCTGCCTACAATCCACTCACTGCTATGCTCTTCCCCAACAGATCTCCCTGTCACTCCCAGCTGCAAATCTTTAATGGCTACCTGCATGTCATCTGGGACATAGGGCCCTTCACACTCAGCCCTAAGACTGTGAGTG